TTACATCTAGTCTCCATGTTAATAATTTTATTACTACGTATTTTAAAATATTTGTATTTTTTTTGGATCAAACCTGCGACCTCTCGCATATTAACTATTTCAATTCAGAAACAGCTAGTCTAGCATCTAGCTCTATATTTAACTTAATTAATTTGTCGTCTACTTAAACTCATAAAACTAATTGTTGCAAATAGGCTTTTAAAAAGCGCTTTGGCCTAAAAACACGTTTTTTAGAACACCCTTTACTCGTTTACCTTCACACACACACCGACCGTGTGTTAAATTTAATTGTTAATACATCTATCCTTGTACGAGGTATGTTTTTTCACGAAAACTATAGTTTTAAGGTGCTTAAGTTATAGTTAATGGTATAGTCACTATAGTAATATATCGCGGTTTCGTTTGAGTTGATTTGATTATTCAAGTTTATTAGAAATCTACCAATTTATATTATTACTAGCTTTTGCCCGCGGCTTCACCCGCGTGAAATTTAGTTTGTCACTGACCGTCATAAATTATAGCCTATATGTTATTCTGGGTTATAAAGAATAATACTGTAAAGTTTCATCTAAATCCGTATAGTAGTTTTTGCGTGAAAGAGTAACAAACATTCAGACCATCCAAACTTAGTAAGATCTACCAATTTATCTATATCTATATATATAAAAGAAAGTCGTGTTAGTTACTTCGCTTATAACTCAAGAACGGCTGAACCGATTTAGCTGAAAATTGTCCGGGAGGTAGTTTAGAGCCAGGAGAAGGACATAGGATACTTTTTATCCCGTTCGAAATTAAAAAAAGTCTGCTTATTTATTCCCATTAAGGCGGAACAAAGTTCGCCGGGTCAGCTAGTATTATTATAAAGAAGAGGGTGTTTTCCTTATGGCTTGTTTCCACGCAGTCATCCTGTTTTTTGCAGGATCCCATTCGCAGTGTCCTGATCCGTTCAATTTCGTACGCGTAGATCTCGTTTTACCCCCTTAGGGGTGGAGTTTCGTAAGATCCGTTCTTAGTGAGCACCTACGTTCTAAAAGGAACCCCCATGCAAAATTTGAGACTCCTAGCACTTGTAGTTTCTGAGATTTCGTGATGAATGAGTCAGTCAATCAATAGTCAATCAGATATAAGAATAAATACCTACAGCATTTTAACAATTATGTACTTAATCAATTACAGACGAAACCACATGTCATCATCAACAGCCCTTTACAGTCCACTGCTGGACTATGAGCCTCCTCCACTATAGTGGAGGGTTTTGCCATAATCTCCACGCTAGCGCTCTCTGAAAAACATCAATCTTTTAAACTGCGATCTCCAAACCACATGTATTTCTTGTAATTTAGGAATCGTTTATGTATTACGAAAGGGCAAATTAGTTTAAAACATCTGAGCTGAATGGCTCCCATAAATTGGCAGCCTTATTCTGACGGGAAAGCTTTTTTTTAAGAAAAAAAAAAGCAACTTAAAACTAAAAAGAAAATAATATTTCTGACAAAGTATTACAACCGTCTCCAAAAACTAAAAAGCAAAAATTTATTTTAACGAAGTATTAATAAAACTCAAACAAAAATTTAGAAAGACTAACTAAACTAAGAAAGTACAAAAACTTTTCAATTCGAACTAAGAGAAAAAAGGTTCTCAATTCGACCCGTATGTTTTTAACATTTCTTATACAGAATGTGGTTTTGTAAAACAACGCCCAGTTCATGATTTTTTTAAACGAGTATTTGTGCAAAACAGCTTAATGTAGTAAGAAAATATTATAGGAAATAACATTTTCAACTTTTAAAGTTGAATTTGCAATTTTAAAAGTGTAGTAATTAAAGACATATTGTATTATCATATTAATTACTCAACATTACTATGTGTTTATTATGACTTGTAATTCAATTTAAAAACGATATGGTTTTGAGATCGCGCCGCAAGCACAGAATAATCCCCAGGGGTTGGTTACTTATTTGAAAGCAATTTTAGTTCTACCCCCACCACCTTTTAGAATGATGCAGGGCCGGATTGAGGGCGGATTTTTTTAGGTTCATTTATCCTGTAGCTAACTTAGAAGACGTTGTTCTGTATTATGTTTACTTGGATAATAGAAAAATGGAGTGCTTAATAATTTACTTTGTATATTAAACTTTTTTCGGACTTCTAGAAATATTGAAAAAAATACAACAGAATAATTGGTACAATTCAGTCCGGTCATTTACAGATACATTACAAGTTTAGAGTTAAGTTTGCCTTGGATAAATCTGTTTATTGTAAATAAAGTTTGATACATTTATTTAACTTTAATTTTAATTAGCCGTCTATCCCAACCCATCTGAAATTTGACTTCTCTTTTAATAAAAAACCTTGAGAAAAGTAACTAAAATCGGTCAAATTTTATCAAAAAATATTCAACTATTAAAACATAACATAGACAGCTAAATCTGCATTAAAATTAATTTTTAGTAATTTGATTAAAATTGAAAATACAGTTTAATAAAAATAGTCCCTTAATCCCCCCCTGTGCCCCCACCGCCCCCTGTTCAATAATTTCGCTTCTGCCCGCGTGGATTTTAGGAATAAGTCGTTCCAGACAAAATATACTATACCAGTGCCCTGGCTTCGCTCATTTCTGGTATAGTAATAGTTTCAGTTTGTGTTTCCATTCGTTTAATATCAGTATGCTAATTTTACTAATATTACATAAGTATAATAGATATTTTGCATTAAACTAGCTTTTGCCCGCGGCTTCACCCACGTGAAAATTCGTCTGTCACAGAAAATCTTTCACTCGCGCGTCACTGTTTCAAAAACCGGGAAAACCAACCTAACCCTTTTCCCGGGATTCTAACTAGGTATCTCTATTTTATCAAAATCGGTTAAGGGCTGATTTTTCAATCGTCGGATAACTTTTATCTGAAGAATAAAATTGTCATTTTGACATTATTTCCCATACTGAAACTGTCAATGTGCCAAACTTATTCTTCAGTTAAAAGAAAAGTTATCCGATAATTGAAAAATCAGCCCTAAGTGGTTTGCTTGAAAGCGTAACAGACGGACAGAGAACAAACATCCCAACTAATATTATAAATGCGAAAGTAACTCTGTCTGTCTGTCTGTCTGCCTGTCTGTTACGCTTTCCCGCTTAAACCTCGCAACCGATTTTGATGAAATTTGGCATAGAGATAGTTTGAGTCCCGGGAAAGAACATAGGATAGTTTTTATCCCGGTTTTTGAAACAGGGACGCGCGCGATAAAGTTTTTCTGTGACAGACAAAATTCCACGCGGGCGAAGCCGCGGGCGGAAAGCTATTTACACTATAAACATGAGTTCTATAATATGTATTTAGTACGCGTACGTAGAGGTACTTTTTTTTTTATCCACAACGAGGAAGCTCTTGGCCTGTATCTCACCTGATGGTAAGTGACGATCAGGCCGAAGGTGGAAGCGAGCTTCACCCGGAATCCTCAACCACGGAGGAACTGGCTATCTTACCTCTAACTGCCGGAACACAACAATGCTGTTAGCTTGCCAGGCGGACTTAGAACAAGCCCTTGTCGAACTTAATTCTTCTGATTAAATTCGTTGCGGGTTCGAAGACAGTTAGCTATCCTCCGGGATTGCGACCTTCACTGGTCGGGTTTCAGAAGGCCGACTGGCCGAGGATCCTGGATAAACAGTGTATTAGTAGACAATACAAGACGACACCAACTTACTTTAACCGTAACTATCACAATAACTGACAATAACCGGTATATTTTGTATGGAGTTTGACAGATTTTTGACGTTTGTTTTAAACTTAAATTAAGATGGTGCCTAACACTGTAATCATGAGGAGTACATAATATTTTAAAAATTATACTATTGTGATACTGATGTTAGAACTAATTTAATAAGTGTACCTATTATACAAATAAAAAATCGGTTCATTAGTTGCAAAGATTATTTGTTACAATACAAACAAACTTACTTTCTCTTTTGTAGATTAGTCACGTGCTTCACTATAAAAGCTAAAAGTACCTTTTAGCGCCATCTGTTATGTTCATAACGAACTAAAGTTTTAGTCAACGCCATCTGCCGAGCTAGCTTCGGCCGTTGCCTAGCAACGTAGCTGTTTGTTTTGTTACGTTTTTGGTCATATAGATGACCCACGCTGAACTGTCCCGCCAAACTCAATGACAGGGGGGCGCTACCATCGTTCAACTATATGGTTTCCAACATGGCAAAAATCTGAACCAGCGATCCGGTATTGACGGTGGCGCCCCACTGTCAATGTCATCGACAGGACAGTCCAGTATTTTGGAACTATACTCTCTAATCTGTGTTTTGGTCTTGGGTTCTCAAAGGTTTTTTCTTTACCCCCAATATTTATAATTTAATTAATTTAATAGAAATGTTGAACATTGTGGTTAAAATAACTTACACATTCACAATAATAAGTAAGAGGATAAATCTAATCTTATCAAATCAAAATTTTATGTTGTATTTGAAACTAGCCGACCCGGCGAACTTTGTTCCGCCTTAATGGCAATAAATAAGCAGACTTTTTTTATTTCGAACGGGATAAAAAGTATCCTATGTCCTTCTCCTGGCTCTAAACTACCTCCCTGACAATTTTCAGCTAAATCGGTTCAGCCGTTCTTGAGTTATAAGTGGAGTAACTAACACGACTTTCTTTTATATATATAAGATTAAAATAAAGAAAGATTCTTGCCTTTCTTTCTTTTATTTTCAAACGCTCTTAAAACTCCTTATCTTGCACATAATGTAGTTAAACAACACAATGTTGACGTGTTGCGATTTTTTAAAAATGTTATTTATTTATTTACATTATCTTTATTGAAGAAAGATACAGCCTTGTTTGAAACATGCAGCTTAATGTTTTTTTGGACACTTTGGGTGTCACGAACTTTTAGTCGACTGAACTGTATAGGTTTTTTTTTAATTCACTTTTTTTGTAATAAATGTCCCTTTCTTCCTCTCCTATTGTAACGTTCCTTCTCTATCTTTCCAGGACGAAGTCCTAGCCATCAACGAGAAAGTGGTCCTACGAGCCGATGACCTGCTCAGCTGGGTGTGTAACGGCGAAGACTGGCGGTGGGGGCTCCGAGCGGTGTGGAGGGGCGCCTGTGCCCCCCCTGCGGACCCACGACACACGGCCCCCTTACACCACACTAAGCTGGACTTCAGCGATGTTGAGAAGGAGAAAAATTCTATTGGTAAGTCACTCTAGATGTATTATGACCTGCTTAGCTTGGGAATGGCGGTAGGGGGCTCTGAGTGATGTGGAGGGGCGCCTGTGCCCCCCCTGCGGACCCACGTCACACGGCCCCCTTACACCACACTAAGCTGGACTTCAGCGATGTTGAGAAGGAAAAGAATTCTATTGGTAAGTCACTCTAGATGTATACCTGCTCAGCTAACCGATGAATGGCGGTAGGGGATTCTGAGTGGTGTGGAGGGGCGCCTGTGCCCCCCCTGCGGACCCCCGCCACACGGCCCCCTTACACCACACTAAACTGGACTTCAGCGATGTTGAGAAGGAGAAAAATTCCATCGGTAAGTCACTTTTATCCTGCTGAGTTGGGTTTGTATCGATAACTTACGGCAGGGGGCTCCGAGCGGTGTGGAGGGGCGCCTGTGCCCCCCCTGCGGACCCCCGCCACACGGCCCCCTTACACCACACTAAGCTGGACTTCAGCGATGTTGAGAAGGAGAAAAATTCTATTGGTGAGTCACTCTAGATGTATTATGACCTGTTGGCGGTGGGGGCTCCGAGCGGTGTGGAGGGGTGCCTGTGCCCCCCCTGGGGACCCCCGTCACACGGCCCCCTTAAACCACACTAAGCTGGATTTAAGCGATGTTGAGAAGGAGAAAAATTCCATCGGTAAGTCACTTTTATCCTGCTGAGTTGGGTTTGTATCGATAACTTACGGCAGGGGGCTTCGAGCGGTGTGGAGGGGCGCCTGTGCCCCCCCTGCGGACCCCCGTCATACTGCCCCCTTACACCACACTAAGCTGGACTTCAGCGATGTTGAGAAGGAGAAAAATTCTATTGGTAAGTCAATCTAAGGATACATATAACCTACTCTGCTTGTGAATGGCGGTAAGGGGTTCTGAGTGGTGTGGAGGGGCGCCTGTGCCCCCCCTGCGGACCCCCGTCACACGGTCCCCCTACACCACACTAAACTGGACTTCAGCGATGTTGAGAAGGAGAAAAATTCCATCGGTAAGTAACTTTATAATCTGATGAGTTGGGTTAATATCGAAGACCGGCGCTGGGGGCTCCTAGCGGTGTGGAGGGGCGCCTGTGCCCCCCCTGCGGACCCTCGACACACGGCCCCCCTACACAACACCAAGCTGGACTTTAGCGATGTTGAGAAGGAAAAGAATTCTATTGGTAAGTCAATTAAGTATACTTATAACCTACTCAGCTTGTGAATGACGGTAGGGGGCTCTGAGTGATGTGGAGGGGCGCCTGTGCCCCCCCTGCGGACCCACGGCACACGGCCCCCTTACACCACACTAAGCTGGACTTCAGCGATGTTGAGAAGGAGAAAAATTCTATTGGTAAGTCACTCTAGATGTATTATGACCTGTTGGCGGTGGGGGCTCCGAGCGGTGTGGAGGGGCGCCTGTGCCCCCCCTGCGGACCCACGGCACACGGCCCCCCTACACCATACTAAGCTGGACTTCAGCGATGTTGAGAAGGAGAAAAATTCCATCGGTAAGAAATAAATCAAGTTTTTTTTGGACTTTTTGGTGGGAATATGATCATGTTTGGTTTTATTTTTTTAAATTTGCGTTAAATCGAATGGTGATTGGTGTGTAATAAATGGTGGATTAAAAACCATTAGGTGTTCGTGAATGAACATGATTCAATAACAGTGCAATGTCAGTTGAAATTGGTCGCACTATCGCTCTATCATTCCGTGTGTGTGGCTCATGTGTAATTCGTTTTTAGGCCGGTTTCCATTAAGTTGGTTTAATAGGAACGTACCATTTACAGAGGGGGCTTTTCTTCCTAACCCTTCTTTGTGGCTCTTCGTTATGCAGCCCTTGCGATCTTCGATGAGATGGCTTTCGACTATGAATCCTTAAGTTCCTTGACCCATTTTTTTAATATTCATTGGGTTGTTCAACATAAGTGTTTATTCTATTACAGTGGACCCAGACAGCCCAGGCGTGGTAGTGTTCTCCTACCCCCGGTACTGCCGGTACAGAGCCCTACTCTCTCGACTGGAGGGGGTGCAAGGAGACTGGCTGAGAGACTCGCTGGTCGCCGCGTTGGGAGGGTACGCCGCGCCCACGCATAACACCAGGATCCTGTACTGCAAGGTACGTCATCAGTACTTGAACTGGATTATACCTACGCTGGTGCAAGCTTCTGACTGCGTCCTTGAAAAATGGTCATATCTTCAATCAGCAAGGTTTCATTGTTTCATTTTCATTGATTGCGTTTAAAATAAAGTAGTTTTCTGTCAGCTTTTACGTAAAGGTTTCAGCTTTGTTTGAACTAGCTGTCTAAACGATACCGCGATACGGATTTGTTAAAAAGCTGATTTTCGTACGTCGTCCAATCGCGTTGCAGTTGTACCCTGACACTGCTCACACCTTTGATATTAGTGGCTCCGCAAGCCCATCCTCGCATAAACAGTAACATCCATAGCAATAGGTAGGTAGGTAGCACAGTAGACAAATCAAATATAATATCTGTGTAGGTAGTAGGAAGCGACGATAGCCGAACGGTGAAGGTGTTGGATTGGTCGCTTCGTGATCATAGGAACAAGAGTTCGATCCCCGCCGCTGCTTGACTCTTGTGGTGAACCCCCATACAAGGTCGTCTTTAACCTAAAGGGCTCTGGGCACCTAAGGAGCCAGGGGGCCCTTATTTATTTTTATTTATTTTATTTACACTTTTGCACATACAATTGTACAGTGGCGGACTTCTACAGTCCTTATCAACTGGAAAAAGAGGGTCTGCACCCATACAAGCTTGCCACGAGGAGTTATACAGGGTGTCCCGTAATGTAACGTCAAGCCGGAACTGGGTGTTGAGGCAAGTTGTGCTGGTTATCAGAAAAATATAAAAAAAAATCTATGTGTCATATTTTAAAAATAATAGGCNAGGCGTCCGTAAACGTATCAATAAAGCAATGTTGTTTACTAATACATTCTTTATTTACTATAATTTTTTGTCGGAATTTAATATGGTTTTCCTCACTGTAATTTCTCCGGGAAATCCAGACAAATTCGTTTCCATTATCTTTATTTCGAATAAAAGCATTTAAGATTAAAGATACAAGAATTAGACTCGGATTAAAATGAATTTCACTGAAGAAAGCTTCTCTAATCTCTTAGGCTTAGCTGTTCATTTAATATTAAAATTACGAACATGCATGCCTTCTCTATTTTATGCTCGGTCTAGAAAATACTTAGCTGGATTTATCGTGATTGGTGTTAGGTGTGAAGTAAATAGTCAAACATTAATACACATTCAATAAAAATGTTCTGTCTTGTTTTAGTTGTGGTCCTGGTATATTTATTTAAAAAAAAAATTGATCACAATTTTATCTAAATGATTAAAAGGTATAACTTGTACATTTTCATTATTTAGATAATATTTATAGTTCCCTACACACTTAAATTCATTTTGAAATTAAAAGTTGCTTATCAGTTGTATTACTATTACCTTATTTTAATAATAATTATTGAAATAGTTACATTTTCGTATCAAATAAACGTTTCTTTCTTTTAACTTCATTTTGCCTCACCTTTTTTAATGTAACTTTGATCCTGAAAATAATATTTAAAATAACATTGACATAAAAATTAATATTCTTTGTTACAACTCGATTATATAACAGCAAGGATCAAGCGGTCTCGGTCGGCGTACGAGACCGACTCTCATCTTTCTCTGTTTTGGGACAGGGCCGCACTCGGGAGCAAATTTTAATGGTTTGGCGAAACGGCTACTGGTTTTGTTTATTGTGAAGTGAAGTAATAATAATAGATTTTAATAAGAGAGATTATTTATTTGGTGTGATATTGGTACTTAATTACGTATTATCTAGCATTATTCTGTGTATCTGTGTAATAAACATAATTGCAAATGTAATGTAATAATAATGTATTCAGCAAAAGGTTTCTTACCGAAAATTTTAGTTCTATGAGGTAGTTTATAAAATGATGAACTTAGCTTGTAATATTTTTGATGTAATATTTCAATTTACATGTCCCTCTCTTATTTTGTTAGATTTATTAAAGTTATTGATTGTCACAAGTTACAAATGTATCTATTACAAACAATCCCCTAATGACGGGTCTTTCTTCCATGGCTATCCGATTTTAATGAAATATTAATTTCAAAGACTAAATTAGGCTCGCACACAGGTTATGATAAAACGTGGATGAATTCGCGGGCTTAAGCAAGTTTCGTAATAAAACACGACTTTAATTGAGTAAAATAAAACTCTTTATTCAGCTACAGTCAAATTAACAACGAAATAATAATGATTTTAAACAAAATGTAGAAAAAATATGTAAGATTACTTAGAAAGTCCCGCTAATATGCGTAGGTATCTAAGTTCTTTTATCAATATAATCGAGATAATTCAAAGCAATAAAATTAAAGAAGTAATAATAATAATAATCCGTGCCCTTAGTCCGTGCCTGCGCCTCCCCCCGCCCCGCGCCGCCATTTCGTGTTATTGGGAATTTATGCCGGCCCGGCCGCGGCACACCGGGCGCGAGGTTTATCTGGACAAAGGCTAAAAATGGATTTAAAATTAATCCATTTTTAGCCTTTGTCCAGATAAACTAAATAAAAATAATCATTTATATTTGAGAAAGACACACTTGCAATTTGTGTAAGTTATGTTAATATTTTATTAGTCTGCTAAGAATTAAAAATATGCTATTATCATTAAATTGGTATTAACTAGTCCTATAACTAGCCCTAGAAAGTTAAAATATTATCATTTTACACGGCACTCTAAATAAGAAATGTTTCTTGCACTATAGGCACCAGATAACAAGTAATAATAAACTTACGTACTTAACCCTTAACTGGTATCGTGGGGGCCGCGCGGCCCCCACGCATGACGTTTTCTTTGATTTCTAAGAAGCTACGCATTGTGGGCAGCCAAAATTTTTGGTATTCTCATTTCGGCGCTACTCGCGTCTGGTGCAGGCGTTTCAGCACTGCATCATTCACCAGGACGAAGATATGCACGTGTTGGGGTCCGCGCGGCCCCCACAATACCAGTTACGTTAGTTTTTTTTTCATGGCAATTTTTATTTGTTTTTTGTTTTTTTGCAGTATTGATGACTTTTAAGTGATAAAACAATAGAAGATACCTAGAACGAAGTTTTTGATTCCAAATTAGTGACTAGTAGCATGCAAGAAGAAGAAAATAGTGATAATAAAATTATAGGTCATTGTGAAGACCCAATAAACAATATTCGGTCGATAATGAGGAAATTGATTCTGATTCTGAAGTTTTTTCTTCAGAGAGTGAAAATGAAGACCTAGGTAGGACCTAGTCAATCCAGCTACTATGAAAAAATAAATACAAGTGGTCTGAAAATCCACCAGCACCTGCTAATGTTTGTCAAAATAATATTTATGTTTTTATTTATATAATATACTTATTATTTTTATTAAACATTACATTAAAACGTTATTTATTATTAAGATCACATTATTATGGATTAATTAAAATAATAATATTTTTGGTTATAACTTTCTAAACGATATGTTTCATAGATATTTGTAACGTTAAAAAATATTACGTAAAAAGTTGTTACTATTATGTAATGTCTTGAAGTATATAAGTAGGAAGATTTAATAAAATAAAAACTACATGATTATATAGAACGAGCCTGATATTTATCATTTATGAGCATTTATTCAAGTATATAGGTAAAACATGCTTGCTAGAAGCAAACAAAGTATGGGGGCCGCGCGGCCCCCACGATACCAGTTACGTATGTCCAATTTACGATACCAGTTAAGGGTTAAAAACGTTTTTTTATTAAATATTAGAAATACTTACAATAGTAGTTAAATGGTAGTTTAATTACCATTAACAGTTTTTTCATGAAATTTCTTATTTACAAATATGAAGAGATCGTTCTGACAGAAAAAAACTGTTTTTATCATTTGTTTATTTTAAATATTTCGCTTACTAGTATTCCTGACAATAACACCCCGATCGTGACAATAAATGTTGGTGTCAGAAACAGTATTTTGATTAAAAATAACAAAAAAATATTCACAAAACAAACCCGCCCAGTGTGTCCCGATCCCAACCAGGGCGTTGCACCGCATAGATCCGACTCGCTATCAATTCCGCGTGTGTGTGCGTGTCACATGTCAGTGCATAGGGTGTTGCCAAAATGTTGCGGTATACTAGCGATAGCACGCGGGTTCGGCTGTAAACATCAATTACTCGAAGTTAAAGCTTTTATTCTGTGCTTAGGCCCTTTCCAGGACGCTTATACATGTCCCAAATGCAATTATTGCTGACCAGCGAAGTTCGTACCGTCTAATACTTTTTCAAATCGGTCCAGCAGTTTCGGAGCTTATTCAATACAAACAAACAGTCAAATCTATCCTCTTTATAATAGTGTACGCGACTAATTACAGAGAATATTAAAATTCGACTATTGTGGTGCGCCCACTTGTAACACAAGCATATTTATAGCTTAGTACGAGGGGCTAACGAAGGTAAACTGTTCGAGAATGCTTTATGTTCAAATGTCATTATTAAAGCATAATAAAAAAATAACGGGACTATAATAGTCCTAAAATTCTATTTATCCTAAAAACATTGAAAAATTCTAGCAATATTCCTGATATTGTCAAATATAACCACTAATAATAATGTACATTCCACCAATTTTATAATAACTTGAGTACTTTACATGGCGTCATCTAGTGCCATGTTAATAATAATTACTAGTTTAAAATATTTGTATTGTTTGGGGCCTGCCTGCGACCTCTCTCATATTATTCCTACTCACGAACCAATATTAAATTATATGCTAGCATCTAGCTACATGTTTATCTTAATTTGTCGTCTACTTAAACTCATAAAACTAATTGTTGCAAATAGGCTTTTAAAAAGCGCTTTGGCACAAAAACGCGATTTTTAGAACACCCTTTACTCGTTTACCTTCACACACACAACGACAGTGTGTTAAATTTAATTGTTAATACATCTATCCTTGTACGAGGTATGTTTTTTCACGAAAACTATAGTTTTAAGGTGCTTAAGTTATAGTCAATGGTATAGTCACTATAGTAATATATCGCGGTTTCGTTTGAGTTGATTTGATTATTCAAGTTTATTAGAAATCTACCAATTTATATTATTACTAGCTTTTGCCCGCGGCTTCACCCACGTGAAATTTCGTTTGTCACAGATCGTCATAAATTATAGCCTATGTTATTCTGGGTTATAAAGAATAATACTGTTTTATCAAAATCCATTCAGTAGTTTTTACGTGAAAGAGTAACAAACATCCAGACTTTCGCATTTATAATATTAGTAGCATCTACCAATTTATATTATTATAAAGAAGAGGGTGTTTTCCTTAAGGCTTGATTCCACGCAGTCATTCTGTTTTTTCAGGATCTCATTCCCAGTGTCCTGATCCGTTCAATTTCGTACGCGTGGATCCCGTTTTACCCCCTTAGGGGTGGAGTTTCGTAAGATCCGTTCTTAGTGAGCACCTACGTTTTAAAAGGAAACTTGCAAAATGGCAATGCCAGATTTTGTATGGAAGGTGGCGTCTTTTTTTTTACGCGCGGCCATCGACCAAACTTTGTTTTTTGATTACAAAATAGTGTAATAAACCAAACTTACTATGGCATGTATACCTCTAAACTCAGTCTGAACTGAGTTACGAGCATTAGAAGTTTGANTTTTGTGTAAAAACTGCAAGGATTCTGGGGGTTTGAAGAGTTGGGGTGAACAGCAGCACTACTTAAGTTGCCGATATAAACAGAAAATCAGGAATAATTGAAAAATTGTGGTCGTGGTAATGTAAAATATCATAAGGGGTGTCAATTTTCGTCGAATTTCATAATTTATTGTGTAAGTTAAAAAATAATTGAGATAGATTTTTTTCCTTATACATACTACATAGTTGGTCAGGGAATTTTGAAAAAATTGTCAGGGAAAGTCAGGGAATTTTTTCGAACATTTGCAGTGGACACCCTGCTAATATTTGACGATTTCTAAGCACTATACAGGGTGTTAGGTAAATGGGTGTATGAGCCGACACTAGCCCATGTTAACATAGTCATATAAATGGTATGGTGAAGTCAGAAAATTGATATCTTCATTTTAATTATTTTATTTTTCATACAAATCGATTTTATCAAATTTATTTTGTATGAAAATTAAAAAAAATTAAATGATGATATCAAATTTCTGACTTCACCATACCATTTATATGCCCATGTTACCATGGGCTAGTGTCGGCTCATATACCCATTTACCTAACACCCTGTAGAATAGTCCATGAAAACAAAGGAATTTCGATTTAACATTTTAATTTTGTCTCCCAGGACACATTCGAATACGCCGAGCTAGAAGGCCACGAGTTCGTGTGCAACCAGTTTGCGCCCAAGTTGAAGGGCCGGCCGCGCGGGCGCCGCCGCCGTCCCCCCCGCGCCGGCGACCCGTCCCCCACCCCCTCGCCCGAGCGGCCGTCGTCGGAGCACGACTCGGATGACCAGAGGAGTACGCCCAGTGTGAGTATTTTTAAAGTTCCAGGACTACTCCGAAACGATGTTTAGGTAGTTTCGGGCCTGTAATCTGTAATGCCACATTATCATAATGTCCACATTGCATGCCGTGGCAACATTTAATTAAGACAACACTTAGTTCTAAGCAATTTTAGTTATAGTAATTCCATGTACCTATGCGTGTTTGTCTTGTTGGTTGTCCTAATAAATAAAATGAATTAAAAATAAATCTGTCACCGGCGTCGCTCGTGCTCAAACTTCGGACAATGTCGTTCAGAGTAACCTCGCTAAAAGTTAAATCTTAATTTACACTTTACAAAAGTTAATATACAGGGTGTTAAGTGAATGGGTATATGAGCCGACACTAGCCCATGTTAACATGTTCATATAAATGGTATGTAATGGTAAAGTCAGAAATTTGATATCATTATTTTATTAGATTAACTGCCCGACTAAACTATCGGCCGACAAAAAATCGATGGTCTGCGCCTAGGCTGAAAAGCAGATATCAGCAATGAAGCGATCCTGATCCTTTGAAACCAGATTTCCTCCTGGATTGTCAGTTGTACAGAATCAACTATAAAAATTCACTATCATGAGTAGATTCTATTTAAAAAATGGCATTATTCTGTGTAATTGTGCATTTATATCATTTTTTAACTACAGCAGCAGAGAATTTTCTTTAACTACATTATAAATGATGGTTTTTCTATTATTTACCATCCAACTTATTTGTGTGTCTTATTTATCCCCCCTTTTTAGGTCGCGACCCCCCGCCGTCTCTCCCTCCGCAACGGAGCGGACCGGCACAGCGACGAGGACGACTACAAAAGAGAGGAGACGAAAGAGGGAAAGAGAGAGGAGAAGAGAGACACCACTCTCGAGGACAGAGCCTTCTTGCTGCAGCTCAGACAGTTTTATAGGGAAAGGAACGAGTCTATGCACGGGCATACGCTTAAAGACTGTGAGTAAATTAAATTCACATTATTTATTGATGCTTATGTAAATGCACGAAGTAATAAATCCGTTTCAGCCGAAAGACGTCCACTGCTGGACAAAGGCCTCCCCCAAGGATTTCCACAAAGACCGGTCCTGCGCCGCTTGCATCCAGGTACTTCCCGCGACCTTCACCAGATCGTCGGTCCACCTAGTGGGAGGCCTGCCCACGCTACGTCTTCCAGCTCGTGGTCGCCACTCAAGAACTTTCCTGCCCCAGCGGCCGTCAGCTCTTCGAGCTATGTGCCCCGCCCACTGCCACTTGATTTTAGCGATTCTGCGGGCTATGTCAGTCACTCTGGTTCTCCTACGGATCCACTATTGATGTAATAAATCCCCGAAGAAGACGATAGTCGACTCGTGATCCGAGGAACGCGGGTTCGGTCCCCGCCAATGCTCGACTATTGTGGTGAGCTCACCGTGATACAAGCATATTTAGTTTAGTACGAGGGGCTAACGGAAGTATTAGTAATTTGTGTAATAACAAATCTAAATATTGTAACTATTAGATAGTTGAATTAAAAAAGGGTGTAATTTGTTAAAAAAATATTGTAACTCAAAGGTGACTGACTGACTGACATAGTGATCTATCAACGCACAGCCCAAACCACTGAACGGATCGGGCTGAAATTTGGCATGTTACCAACTTATTATTATTCAAAATAAAAAAAATCAAAATTAAAATCATATATTCAGTTTAGACCACAAGTGGCACTTATGAACGTCAAAATATAAATAATAAAAAAGAAAAAGTAGCCCGAAGCGTTCATGAGCAGACATTGCAGTTGAATATTCAAGTTCTGAATTTGATTATTGATGAATAATAAAATAAATCCTACTAGTTCGATTGATGGTTTCATTTAATTTATTTAAACCAGGTTACCTATAATAATATTTTTTCGTTAATTTATGAAAATATCAAATTAGCCCGTAATCCTGAATCCTGAAACATAAAGTTAGCCTATTAATTTAACACAGGTACGACTGTACTCAGTGTTGCACTATCAAATGCAATTGAAGCGCCTCTATGCCAGGGTTTTTATGTTCCTGGTCAGGCTATACATTTTAAACTTTAAGGCTGGGTTGCACCATCCTACTTTAACTTTGACAAACGTCAAAAATCTGTCAAACTCCATACAAAAAACACCGGTTATCGTCATAGTTACGGTCAAAGTTATGTGGCGCATCTCAGCCTTAAAGTTGAGTTTGCAATTTTACAAGTATAGTAATTGAATTTGAATTAAATATTGTATTATCATATTAATTACTCAATAATAAAAGTTTGCCTCCTGTCACATAAAAAAAAATCTATTATAATATTATGACTTGTAATTCAATTTAAAAACGATATGGTTACGAGATCGCGCCGCAAGCACAGAATAATCCCCATGGGTTGGTTACTTATTTGAAAGCAATTTTAGTTCTACCCCCACCACCTTTTAGAATGAAGCAGGGCCGGATTAAGGGTGGATATTTTTTTAAGGTTCAAATTAGGGTTGATTTTTCAATCGTCAGATATTTGTTTTAACTAAAACATAAACTTGTCATTTTGACTTATTTTCCATTAATCTGTCAATGTTCCATAGTTATTCTTCAGTTAAAAATCATCTAAGCTTCAAAATGTTCTGTATTTATGTTTTACTTGGATAGGAAATAGAAAAATGGAGTGCTTAATTGAGTTCTTACAGCTTTGTATTAACTTTTTTTGGACTCCTAGAAATATAGGAAAAAATACAACAGAATAATTGGTTCAATTCAGTCCGGCCATTTACAGACACATTTATTTATTTAACTTTAATTTTAAGGTCAAGTTAGTCCCAACAGAAATGTTCTTTTTTAAAAACCTTGAAAAAGTAACTAAAATCGGTCAAAATGTATCAAAAAATATCCAACTACATATTAAAAAAGATAACATAGACAGCTAAATCTGCATTAAAATACATTTTTAGTAATCTGATTAAAATTGAAAAAATCAGTTTAATAAAAATAGTCCCTTAATCCCCCCCTGTGCCCCCACCGCCCCCTGTTCAATAATTTCGCTTCTGCCCGCGTGGATTTTAGGAATAAGTCGTTCCAGACAAAAATAATACTATATCAGTGCCCTGGCTTCGCTCATTTCTGGTATAGTTTCAGTATTCAGGATTGTGTGTCCATTCTTTTAATATCAGTATGCTAATTTTACTAATATTACATAAGTATAATAGATATTTTTTAAATTCGTCCGTCACAAAAAAACTTTCACTGTCACTGTTTCAAAAACCGGGAAAACTAACCTTTTGCCTTTTCCCGGGATTCAAACTATCTCTATTTTATCAAAATCGTTCAGTGGTTTAGGTTTGAAAGCGTAACAGACAGACAGATAACAAACATTTTCAATAACATCAAAGAACAAAGTGTAAAATTAAAAGAAAATGTTAGGATTTTCTGAATTAGGAAACCTACGAAATTAGTATTAATTTATTAAACATTTAATGTCCTTGATAACATAATTATTTGGCTAAAACTTAGAAACTTCTAGCTCGCATCAATATTTTTATCTATGTATTTCAAAGACCAAACCCTTGAAAAAGAGGCTGACAATGGTGACTGAGTTTCTTGCGCTGCTTCTTCTCAGCACTGGCCCATTTATTGTCAGGCCGAAAGTGGAAGCGAGCTTCACCCGGAATCCTCAACCACGGAGGAACTGGCTATCTTACCTCTAACTGCCGGAACACAACAATGCTGTTAACATTGTTGTTATGGCGACAGACTTAGGTAAGAGTAAGATGGTGGTAGCTAGCCAGGCGGACTGAGAACAAGCCCTTGTCGAACTTAATTCTTCTGATTAAATTCGTTGCGGCCGTTGCGGGTTCGAAGACAGTTAGCTATCCTCCGGGATTGCGACCTTCACTGGTCGGGTTTCAGAAGGCCGACTGGCCGAGGATCCTGGATAAACAGTGTATTAGTAGACAATAATAGTTTTTGTTCGACATCGCTTCGTCTGAATTAATGTTACTTACACGACACCAACTTACTTTAACCGTAACTATCACAATAACTGACAATAACCGGTATATTTTGTATGCAGTTTGTTTTAAACTTAAATTAAGATGGTGCCTAACACTGTAATCATATGAGGAGTACATAATATTTTAAAAATTATACTATTATGATACTGATGTTAGAACTAATTTAATAAGTGTACCTATAATACAAATAAAAAATCGGTTCATTAGTTGCAAAGATTACTTGTTACAATACAAACAAACTTACTTTATCTCTTTTGTAGATTAGTCACGTGCTTCACTATAAAAGCTAAAAGCCGTTGCCTAGCAACGTAGCTGTTTGTTTTGTTACGTTTTTGGTCTTGGGTTCTCAAAGGTTTTTTCTTTACCCCCAATATTTATAATTTAATTAATTTAATAGAAATGTTGAACATTGTGGTTAAAATAACTTACACATTCACAATAATAAGTAAGAGGATAAATCTAATCTTATCAAATCAAAAATTTATTTTGTATTTGAAATTAAAATAAAGAAAGATTCTTGCCTTTCTTTCTTTTATTTTCAAACGCTCTTAAAACTCCTTATCTTGCACATAATGTAGTTAAACAACACAATGTTGACGTGTTGCGATTTTTTAAAAATGTTATTTATTTATTTACATTATCTTTATTGAAGAAAGATACAGCCTTGTATGAAACATGCAGCTTAATCTTTTTTTGGACACTTTGGGTGTCACGAACTATTTGTCGACTGAACTGTATAGATTTTTTTTAATTCACTTTTTTGTAATAAATGTAATGTCCCTTTCTTCCTGTCCTATTATAATGTTCCTTCTCTATCTTTCCAGGACGAAGTCCTAGCCATCAACGAGAAAGTGGTCCTACGAGCCGATGACCTGCTCAGCTGGGTGTGCAACGGAGAAGACTGGCGGTGGGGGCTCCGAGCGGTGTGGAGGGGCGCCTGTGCCCCCCCTGCGGACCCCCGCCACACGGCCCCCTTACACCACACTAAGCTGGACTTCAGCGATGTTGAGAAGGAAAAGAATTCTATTGGTAAGTCACTCTAGATGTATTATGACCTGCTTAGCTTGGGAATGGCGGTAGGGGGTTCTGAGTGGTGTGGAGGGGCGCCTGTGCCCCCCCTGCGGACCCACGGCACACGGCCCCCTTACACCACACTAAGCTGGATTTAAGCGATGTTGAGAAAGAAAAGAATTCTATTGGTAAGTCACTCTAGATGTATTATGACCGAAGACTGGCGGTGGGGGCTCCGAGCGGTGTGGAGGGGCGCCTGTGCCCCCCCTGTTGACCCACGGCACACGGCCCCCCTACACCATACCAAACTGGACTTCAGCGATGTTGAGAAGGAGAAAAATTCCAACGGTAAGAAATAAATGAAGTTTTTTTGGACTTTTTGGTGGGAAAATGATTTATTTAAAAAAAAATGCGTTTAATCGAATGCATGGTGTGTAATAGATGGTGGATTAAAAACCATTAGGTGTTCGTAAATGAACATGATTCAAAAACAGTGCAATATCAGTTCAAATTGGTCGCACTATCGCACTGTCATCAGTTTTTAGGCCGGTTTCCATTAAGTTGGTTTACTAGGAACGTACCATTTACAGAGGGGACTTTTCTTCCTAGCCCTTCTTTGCGCCTCTTCGTTATGCAGCCCTTGCGATCTTCGATGAGATGGCTTTCGACTATGAATCCTTAAGTTCCTTGACCCATTTTTTTAATATTCATTGGGTCGTTTCATCACAAAAGCGTTTATTCTGTTCCAGTGGACCCAGACAGCCCAGGCGTGGTGGTGTTCTCCTACCCCCGGTACTGCCGGTACAGAGCGCTGCTGTCTCGACTGGAGGGCGTGCAGGGCGACTGGCTGAGAGACTCGCTGGTCGCCGCGTTGGGAGGGTACGCCGCGCCCACGCATAACACCAGGATCTTGTACTGCAAGGTATGTCAGTGCTGGAAGTAGCATTTTATACACTAGTAAAAAAATCATTTATTTTTGTAAATTGGCTTTAAAAAAGCACTTTTACACGTCCCAGTATTAACCCTACCACTGCTACGGGACAATGCCGAAAAGAAGCAGCGCAAGAAACAGTCACTATTGTAAGCCTCCTTTTCAAGGGTTTACAGTCTTTGAGATGTACCTACAAGCTTTTATGACTGCGCCCTTCATAAATGGTCATATCTTCAATCAGCAAGGTCTTTTCTGCTAATCTGTCCTGTACCCTGAGACTGCTCACACCACCGAATTTGATAGTTAAGGAGTTATATGCATTAACGAATTGTTGATATGCTTTTTAAAAAATCGTATCTACCTATCCCAAGCTAATCCACGATTTTGAAGCCACGATAGCCGAACGGTGAAGGGGTCGGACTGGCCGACTCGTGATCCGGGGAACGCGGGTTCGATCTCCACCGGACTATTGTGGTGAGCAAACTCGTGGACACAAGCATATTTAACTTAGTACGAGGGGCTAATGGGAGGGAGTAATAAGGTTCGGCCAAACTAACGCGATCACACACGATCAGCCGGCGTGCAGCGATGGCGATCAATGCATTTAAGTCTGGTTGCCATCGCTGCACGTCGGCTGATCGCGTTGGTTTGGCCGAACCTTTAGTAATTTGTGCAATAACAAATAACTAATCATCATAAAAAAATACGTCGACGATACTTGAAGCTATAGCTATCCTCGTCTCTCAGGACACATTCGAATACGCCGAGCTAGAAGGTCACGAGTTCGTGTGCAACCAGTTCGCGCCGAAGCTGAAGGGCCGGCCGCGCGGGCGCCGCCGCCGTCCCCCCCGCGCCGGCGACCCGTCCCCCACCCCCTCGCCCGAGCGGCCGTCGTCGGAGCACGACTCGGATGACCAGAGGAGTACGCCCAGTGTGAGTATTTTTAAAGTTCCAGGACCTAGGGCTACTCTGAAACGACGTTTAAGTAGTTTCGGGCCTATTTGTCACTGTCGCTCATTCTAGCGTCTCGCTTTGCGTGAGAAGGATGGCAATATTCGAAACTTCACAAAATTACAGACTCTTATGTTTTTATCTATTCATTTGCACTGATTTGATTATTATAAAAGTATTCTTTTTGTTGTTACTCAAACTTATTACAAAACAAGATGAACTTAGCTTAAAAGCAGAAATCACATAATCCACCAATAAGCTCACGCAATGGCACGGCCTTCTGGGTTGTCAGTTGTACAGTCATTTAACAGCAAACAAATACTACCTACCCATTTACAAGCTAAGATTAATTTATTGAAATCAACAAAATTAACGGGTCTGTTGGTCGTTTAATGCTGAACGAATGATTGTTGGTTCGAGTTCCATTTGCTAAAGGTTTATTGCTCTCGTTCTAACTTGAGTTCATAAAAAAAAGAAAAATTATATTATTCTACTGTTCAGAATAGCATTTTTTTCGTGCTGTCACCATTCCTTCCTTAAATAAGTACAAATGTTTAATAACGGATTTTTTTAACCCCAATGATAAAGCCTGTGACTTATCTAATGAAGGAAATAATCACCTATTTGTATAAAATAGTATAAATCTTATATTAACCTCTTATAACAGGTCGCGACCCCCCGCCGTCTTTCCCTCCGCAACGGAGCGGACCGGCACAGCGACGAGGACGACTACAAGAGAGAGGACAAGAGAGAGGAAAAGAGAGAGGAGAAGAGAGACACCACTCTCGAGGACAGAGCCTTCTTGCTGCAGCTCAGACAGTTTTATAGGGAGAGAAACGAGTCTATGCACGGGCATACGCTGAAAGACTGTGAGTAAATTAAATTCAAATTATTTATTGATGCTTATGTAAATCCACGAAGTAATAAATCCACAATTGATGGAATAAATCCACGAAGAAGTCGACTCGTGATCCGAGGAACGCGGGTTCGGTCCCCGCCAACGCTCTATCGTGGTGAGCTCACTCGTGATACAAGCATATTTAGTTTAATACGAGGGGCTAGCGGAAGTATTAGTAATTTGTGTAATAACAAATCTAAATATTATAACTCAAAGGTGACTGACTGACATAGTGATCTATCAACGCACAGCCCAAACCACTGAATGGATCGGGCTGAAATTTGGCATGTTACCAACTTATTATTATTCAAAATCAAAAAAAATCAAAATTAAAATAATTTATTCAGTTTATAGACCACAAGTGGCACTTATGAAAAGTAGCCCTTATGGGGCACTTTACATGTCTCCTTATCTTTTGGGCCCTACTAGCGCTTCGAGACAAACATATGGCAAGTGCTGAGAAAGTTCTGTGATGTTACTAATAATCTCTTGAAAAAAAAAGAAAGTTAGTGACATCAAGCCGAAGGTGGAAGTGAGTTACATCCAGAATCCTCAACCACAGAGGAACTGGCTATCTTACCTCCAACTGCCAAAACACAGCTGTTAACAATGTTTTCATGGCGACGACTTAGATAACCAGTGGGTCTAGACAAAGTGCAAATTATAATCGCAAACCAGTCGAAAAGTGGTCGAAAACCCCTTTTTTGTATGGAGTTTTGCCGGATTCGATTTTCGATTCGATCAAAAAGTGCGTTTTGTCTATGGGGGCTGGTGGTGGACTTACGCCCGTATTTACAAACATTACTATGAGGTCTCACAGTGTGCGTGGACGCACAGGGTGTCACACGAACCAATCACAGAGCTCTATTCAACGCTGTGCGTTTAATTTGCTGATTCACTTGAGCAAGCATCGTTTGTGAATACGGGAGTAAGACAAGCCCTACTACCAACTTAACCCTCCGTGNATGCACGGGCATACGCTTAAAGACTGTGAGTAAATTAAATTCACATTATTTATTGATGCTTATGTAAATGCACGAAGTAATAAATCCGTTTCAGCCGAAAGACGTCCACTGCTGGACAAAGGCCTCCCCCAAGGATTTCCACAAAGACCGGTCCTGCGCCGCTTGCATCCAGGTACTTCCCGCGACCTTCACCAGATCGTCGGTCCACCTAGTGGGAGGCCTGCCCACGCTACGTCTTCCAGCTCGTGGTCGCCACTCAAGAACTTTCCTGCCCCAGCGGCCATCAGCTCTTCGAGCTATGTGCCCCGCCCACTGCCACTTGATTTTAGCGATTCTGCGGGCTATGTCAGTCACTCTGGTTCTCCTACGGATCCACTATTGATGTAATAAATCCCCGAAGAAGACGATAGTCGACTCGTGATCCGAGGAACGCGGGTTCGGTCCCCGCCAATGCTCGACTATTGTGGTGAGCTCACCGTGATACAAGCATATTTAGTTTAGTACGAGGGGCTAACGGAAGTATTAGTAATTTGTGTAATAACAAATCTAAATATTGTAACTATTAGATAGTTGAATTAAAAAAGGGTGTAATTTGTTAAAAAAATATTGTAACTCAAAGGTGACTGACTGACTGACATAGTGATCTATCAACGCACAGCCCAAACCACTGAACGGATCGGGCTGAAATTTGGCATGTTACCAACTTATTATTATTCAAAATAAAAAAAATCAAAATTAAAATCATATATTCAGTTTAGACCACAAGTGGCACTTATGAACGTCAAAATATAAATAATAAAAAAGAAAAAGTAGCCCTTATGGGGCACTTTACATGTCTCCTTATCTTTTGGGCCCTACTAGCGCTTCGAGACAAACATAATATGTTTGTCTCGAAGCGCTAATTATGGCAAGTGCTGAGAAGGTTCTGTGATGTTACTAATAATCTCTTGAAAAAAAAAAGGAAGTGACATCAGGCCGAAGGTGGAAGTGAGTTACATCCAGAATCCTTAACCACAGAGGAACTGGCTATCTTACCTCCAACTGCCAAAACACAGCTGTTAACAATGTTATCATGGCGACGACTTAGGTAACCTGGTCCACCACTTACGCCCGTATTTACAAACATTACTATGAGGTCTCACAGTGTGCGTGGACGCAGAGGGTGTCACACGAACCAATCACAGAGCTCTATTCAACGCTGTGCGTTCGATTTGCTGATTCACTTGAGCAAGCATCGTTTGTGAATACGGGTGTTAGACAAGCCCTACTACCAACTAAATCGAGTAGAAAATCTTATTCCCTCTGGAAATCGAACTCGCGACCTCTGGGTTTGACTTAAAAAAAATGAATTTATTAAAAAAAACGAGAATTTGTTCTCAATCTCCTACATTTTTGCAACCAATATTCTTTTTAAACGTTTGAGTACAAATTGCCGTTCTAAAAAAAGTATAAGTTGGTCATAGTTAGAGAAACAGTGCCCGAAATTTTGGATTTTTTTCTCCTCCTGAGTTAGTAATGTATGCTTGCCCTGATCCAGTTATGCCTATAGATGACCCACGCTGAACTGTCCCACCAAACTCAATGACAGGGGCGCTACCATCGTTCAACTATATGGTTTCCAACATGGCAAAAATCGGAACCAGCGATCCGGTATTGACGGTGGCGCCCCACTGTCAATGTCATCCATAGGACAGTTCAGTATTTTGGAACTATATGCTTGTTTTACCACCGATGATGATGACAGATGGTTTCTTCGTTCCAGTATCTCTCCGAGTGCTATACGAGTCGGTGACGTCCCGAGGCGGGTACGAGGCGGTCTGCAGGCATAAGCTGTGGCGAGCTCTTAGCGTTGAACACCCCGCTAGAGCGAGGAGGCATTATGAAAGGTAATGGAGAATTGTAGTTTATTTATTGGGAAGAAATGAAGAAAAAATATTTAGTCAACACCTTAGGCCCACAACACACGGTGAAACGCAATTGCAACGAAACTGCAACTTCTAGTTACTTTTGAGTTGCATCTAAGTTTCTGCCATAGATTCCGTTGAGAGACCACACATGACGCGACCATTTCAAACCGGTTTCAAACTGTTGATTTAAGGACGCTTATCAACCTGGAAACGGGTCGTACTGTATCGACTCGAGGTGGTCAGTATTCTTTGTATGAAACTCCATACTGCAACGCACACTTATTCGTACCGTAACTTAAACGCCTCGCCTCGCGGTTGACCGCGCGCCAAAGGCAATATGGTTTAAATCCCATTTCGAGTTGATAAGACTGCTATGAGCTTTAAAAAATATGACCTGATGATGATATGTATGTCTTCTTCCCATAGATTCTTCCCTAGTAGGTCAAATCCTCTTAAGCATTGGTTCCCAAAGTGGCGCAAAGTCCTTTAAAGGGGGGCGCGGGCCATCTGAGTACTTAAGTATAAAAAACCTGCGACCGCTGAGAGAATGCATTCCAGACTGCTCGATACGACCAATAAATAATCTTGACTGGAGGAGGGGGGGCGCGAAATTTTTTGTATGGTCGAAAGGGGGCGCGTCTCTAATAAGTTTGGGAACCAATGCTCTAAAGACAAAATGGCTTTTAATGTAACGATGATGAATATCTTTCTATATAAATATATAAAAAAATAATATAAAAAAATAATAATAATATGTATATCTTAAGTCATAATTATTATTTATACTGTCAATTAATGTTAAATTAATATGGAGAGCGGGGATATTCTACCACAAGTATTTATTTACTTAAAAGAATTCCTCGATCGCAATATAGAAATGTAAAAACACCTGGTTATGAATAAAGAAATTTGAATTTGAATTTGATTTCTAAAGCCCGGTCTGCGAGCACGTAGAATTTCGTCGAATGAACCCAAGCTACCCATCCTTATCGCTCGCTCGTAATTATATTGCTGTCGCGACTGTGCGACGGGCGCCCGCAGGGAGTGTGCGAGCGCGACAGCAAAATACTTACGCGCTAGCGATAAGGATGGGTAGCTTGGGGTCATTGGACAAAATTTTACGTGCTCGCAGACCAGACTATACCCACAGATTCCTCCTCCCTAGTAGGTCAAATGCTCTAATGACAAAATGGCTTTTAATGTAACGATGATTAATATCTTTCTACCCACAGATTCCTCCTCCCTAGTAGGTCATAGGTCAAATTCTCTAAAGACAAAATTTTATTTATTTTATTTTATTTTTCTTTATTTAGAAAACNACTAGCTTTCCGCCCGCGGCTTCGCCCGCGTGGATTTTTGTCTGTCACAGAAAAACTTTATCGCGCGCGTCCCTGTTTCAAAAACCGGGATAAAAACTATCCTATGTTCTTTCCCGGGACTCAAACTATCTCTATGCTAAATTTCATCAAAATCGGTTGCGAGGTTTAAGCGGGAAAGCGTAACAGACAGACAGACAGACAGACAGAGTTACTTTCGCATTTATAATATTAGTTGGGATTAGTTGGGATTACAATAAAAATGGCTTTTAATGTAATGATGATGACGTAACAAGTATCTTTCTACCTACAGATTCCTTCTGCCCTACGAGAACCACTCCCGCCGCAACGGTCTGACGCACAACGGCCGCCTCCCCCCGCGGACCGTTGCGACTATTGACGTCACCTCCCCCCCGCGATCCCCGCCGCCCCCCTCGCAAACTGAGGTCGCTAAGAGACTGAGGACGCCTTCGCCTGTGGTAAGTTTTTAGAAGTTTTGTACCTAAAGGGTGCTTGAACGCCCTAGGGCGCACCGGTGCACAGTTTGGGAACCGCTGCCCTATGGAACACAAAACAAGAATTTTGTTTTCATAGGGGTCACTTAAAAATTAGGTATTAATGGTGGAAACGGGCATGAGACCGTCTTTAATGAAAGCTGGTAAGTATTAGTCAGTAATTAAAGCTGCTCCTAAAATTTTCTTCACTTCTTACTCACCTTTAGAGCTAGGTTTAGCAAAAGTAAACTATCCAAGTGTATAAAAGACCTTCGATCGTGGATAGATTGTAGGATGTCACGATGAGGCGGCTAGCAGTCCAGCCTTGGTTTTTAGGAGTTTTGTACACAAAAGGTGCCTCTTTGTCTCATAATAGTGTACATTATAAGTAACAAGCCTCCCCCCGCGGACCGTCGCGACCATCGACGTCACCTCCCCCCCGCGGTCTCCGCCGCCCCCCTCGCAGACTGAGCTCGCTAAGAGACTGAGGACGCCTTCGCCTGTGGTAAGTTCATAGAAGTTTTAAACCCAAAGGGTGCTTAAACACTTCTTTGCATTAAGTTAAAGCACATAGTATAAACCTGTTTGTTTGCTTGGTTAGCTTGTACCAAAATAAGTTTGTAATATTACTATGAGGATAATAGTGCTGGTTGCGTAATAGTATAAGTTTATTTAATGTTCAGCAGTTGTATTTGCAATATTGCGCAATTGTTTGTTATCCCAATTAAAAAAATAAAATAAAAAAAAAAACACCCTAGGGGGCATCGGTGCACAGTTTGGGAATCGCTGGTCTAGTCGAAACATTCTTTTTTTTGTTTTGCAAATGCAATTTTTTTTCTCGGGGTTGAGCCAACCAGTCATCTACATGGGTACGGGATTTTGAAAAATTCAACCCTTATGAGGGTAAAACGGGCTCTACGCGTATGAAGTCGCGGGCGGCCGCTAGTATTAAATAAATTAATAGCAAAATTGAGCAAAATATTTGACGATTTGTAAGTACTATTATTATAAAAGAAGAAATAAAGAAATTTTGACATTGAATAAAATAAATTAACTCTTCCACAGACCACAATCGACAACGAAACCGGCGAGTCGAAAGAAGAACTCAACCTCATCTCCAAACCAGCCGAAGAACTGAACAGGGAGTTTCTAGAATCGTTGCCCAAAGACGAGAAACCTCTCAAGATCTCCGTCAAACCGGTAGAGAAGCTCATCGAAGCGAAGCAGAGCGAAGAAGCAAAGGAAAGTGAGCGAAAGCCGAGCGAAGCGAGCGGAGCGACGCTTAATGAGCTCGCGCATAAGCTGAATTTGAGTGAGTATTGGGTTAAGTAAATGTTTTAGATAGCTCGTAGAGACGATGGCCGTTGGGGCAGGAAAGTTCTCGAGTGGCGACCACGGGCTGGAAGACGTAGCGTGGGCAGGCCTCCTACTAGGTGGACCGACGATCTGGTAAAGGTCGCGGGAAGAGCCTGGATGCGGGCAGCGCAGGACCGTTCATTGTGGAGAACCTTGGGGGAGGCCTTTGTCCAGCAGTGGACGTCATTTGGCTGAAAAGAAACGAACGAAATGTTTTAGAATTTTTAAGAGATGCATTTTGGAAAAGTGTAAAACTTGTACCAATCTTGGAATTTACGTAAATCTCAATTTTCCACCTATAGCAATATGGTTTTCTATGTAGCTCGGTCAAGTTAGAAGTTAATTTACATAATATTTTTAGGTTTATACAAATTATTGTACGATAATAGGTAGGCCTTATATTTGGACAAACTTGACCATTTTTAACCAGAGATACACCGTCGGTAGATGAAGTTACAAATCGCCCACTTTTTCTTGTGCCCAACAAGGGGGCGTTATCGCCCACTTTGAGAAAGAGTGCCTTAGGAAGTAATATTGTTTTAATAATAATAAAGTAATAACAGATGTTTGCCGGAGTTTCGGCCATCATTTGGAAGAAAAATCTTTAAAAAATAAAGACTCAATGTTTTAAGAATAGTTCTTTATAAAGCCCGGTCTGTGAGCACGTAGAATGACCCCAAGCTACCCATCCTTATCGCTCGCGCGTAATTATATTGCTGTCGCGACTGTGCGAGCGCGACAGAAACATAATTACGCGCGAGCGATAAGGATGGGTAGCTTGGGGTCATTTTACAAAATTCTACGTGCTCACAGACCAGACTATAGTAGTGTATTATCCGATAAATAGGTAATTCTTTTAGTTTAAAAATAAATGTCACAGGTTAAGAACCAAAACATAGCTATGTATTACCATGTTTTGAGCAAATAAAACATTTGATTTGACTGATCCCCGCTTCCCGGCAGGCAACCCAGCGGGCCCGTATGTAGCGGTGGCGCCCGAGACTCGACTCAACGGCCACGACGCGAAGCCCCTCGAACAGGTGAGTATTTGTCGGGCTTGGCTCTTTCTTTTCTTTCCTTCCAATTTATTTAAGCCTACGATATAGATGACCCACGCTGAACTGTCCCACCAAACTCAATGACAGGGGGGCGCTACCATAGTTCAACTATATGGCTTCCAACATGGCAAAAATCGGAACCAGCGATCCGGTATTGACGGTGACGCCTCGCTGTCAATGTCATGGATAGGACAGTTCAGTATTTTGAAACTATAGTTTAGTCGGGCTGTTAAACAGTGTAAATAAATAAATATCCTAGGACATTTTACACTGCGCCGCTAGCCCCGAACTAAGCAAAGCTTGTACTATGGGTACTAGACAACGGATATAAATATACTTAAATACTTTTTTTTGTAAATACATACATAATATGGGCATGAAATGCATTACACTGATTTGGTATGGGCTAATTCTTCATACAAATTAAAATCGGGCCCAACTATCGGCCGACTAAGAGTAGGCGCACACCGTTGATTTTTCGTCGGCCGATAGTTTAGTCGGGCAGTTGATCAGTATGGGCATGTATGGGAGTGCGCACACTACGCCCATTCGATTTGGCCGATTCTTCATACAATTTGGAATCGGGCACAACTATCGGCCAACTAAAAATCAACGGTGTGCGTCTACTCCAAAAGTCGGTGGGCTGCGCCTAGGCTAACAGTTTGTAGTACAAACAGCGTCAAATATGTAGTTCGTGTAAAAAAAATTTATGTAATGTAAAAAAAAAAAACACGTCTTTGTTACATTGGAATAAGGTTGTGTTGTCAACTTTTTGGCTACTTTGGGCGTCATGAACGATTTGACACTGACTATAGGGTAAAGACCCCGTTTGTGGTCACTGTAAACAAATTTTTTAACACCTTACAGAAAAATATTGTAAAATTACACTTACTCGTAGATTAATGTCTCTTATGTCAAAACAATCAGGAATAATATTTACTTACACGGTTTTATTATTGTTTGCCATTAGAATAAGTACTACCTATAAATAAGTGACTAACGTTAATTTGATTGTGTTTTAGCAGAAGACTCGCCCCGCGGGCCGAAGTTCGCTGCGCGCGGTGCGAGTGAAGCCCACGCGACCGCAACATACCCCCGCTAACACACGTGAGTATTCTCTAGTGTTGTTGAATAATCGATTATTCTAAAATCCATGTCCCCACGATTGTTGTCCCCATAATGGAGACAAAAAGAATTGAATAAAATTATTATTATCGTTTAAACATCATTGGGACAACGGCAAGTCAGAAATTTCCTTTTCGTTGCCCATGTTAACCNACCAGTGATAAGTAGGCTATCAGGCTATCTAGAGTAGCTTGTCACACACAACCAGTTTCCAAAGTGAACTAGCCAAGCGACTGAAAGTTGCACCTTCGCCCATGGTAAGTCTAACCGCCTCTGTGGTCTAGTGGTAAGACCACCTGCTTCAGATGCAGAGGTCTCGGGTTCGATTCCCAGTGGGAGCAGATTTTTCTGTTCGGTTTGGTTGGTGGTAGGGCTTGTTCTAAGTCCGCCTGGCTAGCTACCACCATCTTACCTAAGTCTGTCGCCATGCAACAGTGTTAACGACATTGTTTTGTTCCGGCAGTTAGAGGTAAGATAGCCAGTTCCTCCGTGGTTGAGGATTCCGGGTGAAGCTCGCTTCCACCTTCGGCCTGATCGTCACTTACCATCAGGTGAGATGCAGGCCAACAGCTTCCTCGTGTAGATAAAAAAAAAATTTTAGGAGTTTTGTACACAAAAGGTGCCTCTTTGTCTCATAATAGTGTACATTATAAGTAACAAGCCTCCCCCCCGCGATCCCCGCCGCCCCCCTCGCAAACTGAGCTCGCTAAGAGACTGAGGACTCCTTCGCCTGTGGTAAGTTTTAAATAAAGCTTTTGATACAGCCAGCCAGGTCGCCACAGATGACACTTTTCTTTATCCACAACGAGGCAGCTCTTGGCTTGTATCTCACTTGACGGTAAGTGATGATCAGGCCGAAGGTGGAAGCGAGCTTCACCCGGAATCCTCAACTTCCATCCTAACTATCGGACAGAGTTAGGTAAGATGGTGGTAGCTAGCCAGGCGGACTTAGAACAAGCCCTACCACCAACCAAACCGAACAGATAAATCTGCCCTCACTGGGAATCGAACCTGGGACCTCTGCGTCTGAAGCAGGTGGTCTTACGACTAGACCATAGAGGCGGTTAAACTTGCAGTTACACTTACGCTCCTCATCGCGCCATCTATAAGTGGCTGAGAACACTGTGGTAAGTTTAAACTAAGAGACTGCGGACTCCTTCACCGGTGGTAAGTTGTTTAGAGTTTCATACTCAAAAGTACTTCTGAGACAGGCTTCAGCTCTACCTGGTACTTAAAGTGCTACCATCCAAGTTACCAGCACCACTTCTTGGGAAAAAAGAGATCGACCAAGGCAGGTAAATAAGCGGCTGACACCTTCGCTGGTGGTAAGTATTTTGTCCACACAAGTCTCTACCCTTCTTGCTTACCTTTAGAGCTAGGTTTTAGTATCCAAAAGTAAACTATCCAAGTGTATAAAAGACCTTCGATTGTGGTTAGATTGTAGGATGTCAAGGCAGTTTTTAGGAGTGTTGTACACAAAAGGTGCCTCTTTGTCTCATAATAGTGTACATTATAAGTAACAAGCCTCCCCCCGCGGACCGTCGCGACCATCGACGTCACCTCCCCCCCGCGGTCCCCGCCGCCCCCCTCGCAGACTGAGGTCGCTAAGAGACTGAGGACTCCTTCGCCTGTGGTAAGTTTTAAATAAAGCTTTTGATACAGCCAGCCAGGTCGCCACAGATGACACTTTTCTTTATCCACAACGAGGAAGCTCTTGGCTTGTATCTCACTTGACGGTAAGTGATGATCAGGCCGAAGGTGGAAGCGAGCTTCACCCGGAATCCTCAACTTCCATCCTAACTACCGGACAGAGTTAGGTAAGATGGTGGTAGCTAGCCAGGCGGACTTAGAACAAGCCCTACCACCAACCAAACCGAACAGAAAAATCTGCCCTCACTGGGAATCGAACCCGGGACCTCTGCGTCTGAAGCAGGTGGTCTTACGACTAGACCACAGAGGCGGTTAAACTTGCAGTTACACTTACGCTCCTCATCGCGCCATCTATAAGTGGCTGAGAACACTGTGGTAAGTTTAAACTCTAAGAGACTGCGGACTCCTTCACCGGTAGTAAGTTGTTTAGAGTTTCATACCCAAAAGTACTTCTGAGACAGGCTTCAGCTCTACCTGGTACTTAAAGTGCTACCATCTATGTTACCAGCACCACTTCTTGGAAAAAAAGAGACCGACCAAGGTAGGTAACTAAGCGGCTGACACCTTCGCTGGTGGTAGGTATTTTGTCCACACAAGTCTCTACGCTTCTTGCTTACCTTTAGAGCTAGGTTTTAGTAGCCAAAAGTGAACTATGCAAGTGTATAAAAGACCTTCTAAGATTGTGGTTAGATTGTAGAATGTTAAAGCAACTAGCAGTTCAGCCTTGGTTTTAGGAGTTTTGTACACAAAAGGTGCCTCTTTGTCTCATAATAGTGTACATTATAAGTAACAAGCCTCCCCCCGCGGACCGTCGCCACCATCGACGTCACCTCCCCCCCGCGGTCCCCGCCGCCCCCCTCGCAGACTGAGCTCGCTAAGAGACTGAGGACGCCTTCCCCTGTGGTAAGTTGTTTAGAGTTTCATACCCAAAGGATGCTTAAACGCCCTAGGGCGCACCGGTGCACAGTTTGGGAATCGCTGGTTTGACGAAGAACCAAGTATACGAATAGCCATGATAGCCGAAGTCAGCCGAACGGTGAAGGGGTCGGGCTGGCCGACTCGTGATCCGGGGAACGCGGGTTCGGTCCCCGCCGCCGCTCGACTATTGTGGTGAGCTCACTCGTGATACAAGCATATTTAGGTTAGTACGAGGGGCTAACGGGACTATTAGTAATTTGTAAAATCTTAAAAAAAAGTGAACTAACCAAGCGGCTGAAAGTGGCACCTGCACCCATGGTAAGTTTTAGGAGTTTTGTACACAAAAGGTGCCTCTTTATCTCATAATAGTGTACATTATAAGTAACAACGGTCGCTCCCCTCTGCGATCCCCGCCGCCCCTCTCGCAAACTGAGGTGGCTAAGAGACTGAGGACGCCTTCCCCTGTGGTGAGTAGACTACAATATTAGATAGGTACCTGCTACAGACAGATGCAAGGGCAGAAAGTAGTTCTTATGGTGGTAAGTTCTTAGTGTCATCATACTTGTGGTGGGCCTTTTAAATTCAAATAGGTTTATTCTTTCTTATAATGTCCAGACGGCTATCAAAACATAAACTTCAAACTTAAAAACAAAAAGGTATCAAAAAGAGTCAAAAAGTATAAAAACATAGACAAAATGCGAAAGAGGTTGGTTCCCAACAAGTCCAACAACACTCAAAGGTGCTTTTGATTTGACACAGATATTATTTTCTAAAATAGCTACTATTGCTCATTGACTCATATGTCCATTATAAGTAACAACGAACGCCTCGACTGTCGACATCACCTCCCCCCCGCGGTCCCCGCCGCCCCCCTCGCAGACTGAGCTCGCTAAGAGACTGAGGACGCCTTCGCCTGTGGTAAGTTACTAAGAAGATCTTTGCTTCAAAGTATAATATACACACCATTGACGTCACTTCGGCTTAGAGCTCCTTCACCAGTGATAAGTAGGCTATCAGGCTATCTAGAGTAGCTTGTCACACACAACCAGTTTCCAAAGTGAACTAGCCAAGCGACTGAAAGTTGCACCTTCGCCCATGGTAAGTCTAACCGCCTCTGTGGTCTAGTGGTAAGACCATCTGCTTCAGACGCAGAGGTCTCGGGTTCGATTTCCAGTGGGAGCAGATTTTTCTGTTCGGTTTGGTTGGTGGTAGGGCTTGTTCTAAGTCCGCCTGCTAGCTACCACCATCTTACCTAAGTTTGTCGCCATGCAACAATGTTAACGACATTGTTTTGTTCCGGCAGTTAGAGGTAAGATAGCCAGTTCCTCCGTGGTTGAGGATTCCGGGTGAAGCTCGCTTCGACCTTCGGCCTGATCGTCACTTACCATCAGGTGAGATGCAGGCCAACAGCTTCCTCGTTGTGGATAAAAAAAAATTAGGAGTTTTGTACACAAAAGGTGCCTCTTTGTCTCATAATAGTGTACATTATAAGTAACAAGCCTCCCCCCGCGGACCGTCGCGACCATCGACGTCACCTCCCCCCCGCGGTCCCCGCCGCCCCCCTCGCAGACTGAGGTCGCTAAGAGACTGAGGACGCCTTCCCCTGTGGTGAGTAGACTACAATATTAGATAGGTACCTGCTACAGACAGATGCAAGTGAAGAAAAGTAGTTCTTGCGGTGGTAAGTTCTTAGTGTCATCATACTTGTGGTGGACAGCCGCTCGGGCGGGCAAAAATGACTAAATACCTTTCAAAGGAAAACGCAGCGTGGGACGTCCACCTACAAGGTGGACTGACGACATCGTAAAGGTAGCAGGGAAGCGCTGGATGCAGGCTGCTACCAATCGATCAACGTGGAAAGCATTTCAGCAGTGGACGTCCTATGGCTGAAATGGTGATGATGATGATGACCTTTTAAATGCAAATAGGTTTATTCTTTCTTATAACGCCCAGACGGCTATCAAAACGTAAACTTCAAACTTAAAAACAAAAGGTATCAAAAAAAGTCAAAAAGTGTAAAAACATAGACAAAATATCAAAAGAGGTTGGTCCACCTACCGGTTCCCAACAAGTCCAACAACACTCAAAGGTGCTTTTGACACAGATATTTTCTAAAATAGCTACTATTGCTCTTTGACTCATATGTCCATTATAAGTATAGATGACCCACGCTGAACTGTCCCGCCCAACTCAATGACAGGGGGGCGCTACCATCGTTCAACTATATGGTTTCCAACATGGCAAAAATCTGAACCAGCGATCCGGTATTGACGGTGGCGCCCCACTGTCAATGTCATCGACAGGACAGTCCAGTATTTTGGAACTATAACAACGAACGCCTCGACTGTCGACGTCACCTCCCCCCCGCGATCCCCGCCGCCCTCCTCGCAAACTGAGCTCGCTAAGAGACTGAG